CGATGCCAGCAGGCTTCAGGCACCTCCCCCCTCGTGTGAGTAGGCTTGGGGCGCAAAGCAGCCACAAGCTTTGCCTTCTTGTGCTCCCCAGATCCTTCAAGACCTGGGGGACTTTTTGGCTGCCAAACGAGCTCTGAAGAAGGCCTACAGGCTGGGCTCCCAGAAGCCTTTGCAGAGGGCAGCCGTCTGCCAAAGCCTTAAGCATGGTGAGCCTGGGGGCACCAGGAGCCAAACTGCCCCACCAGGAAGGGACGGGAGGCCAGCAGGTGGCAGAGCCAGGTCAGGACCCTGCAGCACTGCCTCTGCACTTCTGGCATGAGATTCCTCCCGGCAGTGCTGGCGGTAGTCTTGCTGCAGCAGCGGCTGGAGGATGCTGAGGGGCGAGATCCCCAGGGCGCCATGGCTGTCTGTGAGGAGCTAGGAGACCTGTTCTCCAAGGCAGGCGACTTCCCGCGTGCGGTCAAGGCCTACCAGAAGCAGGTACACACCCCAGGGGACAGGGTGGCGAGGTACGCAGTGGCTGCTGTGGGGCAGCCCTGGCCTCACCATGCTGGCTCCCCAGCTGCAGCTTGCTGAGCTCCTGAACCGCCCAGGGCCCGAGCTGGCCGTCATCCATGTGTCACTGGCCACCACGCTGGGGGACATGAAGGAGCACCGCCAGGCCGTGCACCACTACGAGCAGGAGCTGGGTCTGCGCAGGGGCAACACCCTTGAGGTGACAAGCATCTCCAGCACACAGCCTCGCCCTCGAGGTGCCCTGGGAGGATGCAGCCCTTCCTGAGAGCACTGCCCTTTGGCAGCTAGGAGGGGGCTTTGGGCCAAGCCAGACGTTGCTGTCCTGGAGGGCCCTGCTGCCAGCCTCATCCTTCCTCCTCCTGCAGGAAGCCAAAACCTGGCTCAACATCGCACTGTCTCGGGAGGAGGCTGGCGATGCCTATGAGCTGCTGGTGCCGTGCTTCCAGGAGGCACTCAGCTGTGCCCAGCAGGCCCAGCGGCCCCAGCTGCAGGTACAAGAGCCCCCCACGCTGGGCCCCCAGCCTGTTTCCTGGCAGCTATCCCGCCCCGCCAGTCCTGAGCCGGCAACCTATCTGCCTCAGAGGCAGGGTCTGCC